TTTGCATATTCCAAGGACTACTTGCTTCATACCCTAGAGGACTCTAGAGCAATACTAAGGTCTGCAAATAAAAGAAAGTTTAGCTGGTCTCAATTGGCACAAAGATCCCACCCTGCTCAACTTTCCTCATTCCTCATAAGCTACCAGAACGACGGTCTAAGGGGTCAAGGTCCTAAAAGAAGACACAGAGGGTCCTGTGGCACTTTTAAGACTAACAGAAGTATTGGGAGCATAAGCTTTCGTGGGTAAGAACCTCACTTCATCTCACAGACTTGCATCTGAAGAAGTGAGGTTCTTACCCATGAAAGCTTATGCTCCCAATACTTCTGTTAGTCTTAAAGGTGCCACAGGACCCTCTGTTACTTATTACTGTTTAGTTTACCAATTTTGTTCCAAAACTTCCTCTAATGACACCTCAATTTGGGACAGTTCCTCAGATCTGTCACCCAAAAAGAATGGCTCAGTTTTGGGAATCTCCCTCACATCCTCAGCAGTGAAGATCAATGCAAAGAATTCATTTAGTTTCTCTGCAATGTCCTTATAGTCTTTGAGTGCTCCTTTAGCATCTTGATCGTCCAGTGGCCCCACTGGTTGGTTAGCAGACTTTGTTTCTGATGTATTTAAAACAAATTTTGGTTCTTACTTTTGGAGTCTTTGGCTAGCTGTTCCTCAAATTCTTTTTTGCTCTTTCTAATTATATTTTTATACTTAATTTGCCAGAGTTTATCCTCTTTTCTAACCCTGGTATTCTAATATGGTTAGATGTGGCTTCATCAAAGGAGGAAAAAACACAATTATGGAGGGATAGCTCAGTGGTTTGAGCATTGGCCTGCTAAATCTAGGGTTATGAGTTCAATCCTTGAGGGGGCCATTTAGGGATCGGAGGCAAAAATCTGTCTCGGGATTGGTCCTGCTTTAAGCAGGGGGTTGGACTAGATGACCTCCTGAGGTCCCTTCCAACCCTGGTATTCTATGATTCCTTATTAGGATTTATCTTCCACTTTTTAAAGGATGCCTTTTTGCCTCTCACTTCTTCTTTCACTTTGTTGTTTAACCACGGTGGCTCTCTTTTGGATCTCTTACTATGTTTTCTAAATTAGGGTATACATTTAGGTTGAGCCTCTTATGGCGTCTTTAAAAAGTTTCCATGCAGCTTGGAGGGATTTTATTTTTGGTACTGTTCCTTTTAATTTCTGTTTCACTAATCTCATTTTTGTGTAGTTCCCCTTTCTGAAATTAAATGCTACAGTGTTCGGCCGTGAGTTTTCCCCACCACAAGGATATTAAATTTAATTATATTATGGTCACTATTACCAAGGAAAGGGTTGGACATTGCAAAGCACATGGTTTTGGGAAAATACAGCACTGGGGAGTGTTGGGCCCATTTTTCCAATCATAACCAAAGCTGATAGAAGCTGGAGTGTGGCTGTGGTATAACAAGTGGGCTGCTGGAGTCAGAACTGCTAAACCAGGGTGGTTTATCACGCAGACACTCATTGCATGCTTGTGCGCTGTGCGGGAGCATCCAGACAAGGGAGGTACAGCTGTGGAGCATTTTAAGGCACTCATGTTTTCAGGGCAACTGATGACACAACCCCTCACTGGTCAGGGTTGCACCCCAGAACATGACAATGTATGACAACTATTTATCTGTTGTAGCATGTAACACCCAAGACTACTATAACAAAATTAATGAAAAACGTTTCTCTTCATGTTATGTGCATTGACAGCATTTTCTAGATGCAGTGAAAATGACTATGGTCCGTTTCCTATTAAGCTAAATCTTTTACAGAATAATAGGGGAGAGGAATATTTTCAGGCATCAGAATATGTGGTTGTTAAACTACTAATTGACTGGACTCTGCCGGGCAAAATAGTTGAAACTACTTCTAATTTTTTAATTGAAATAGATCTCAAATTGATATACCTCCTAAAATAATAAAATCTTAAATAATTTCCAATACTTTTAGTCTGTTCAGATATTTTTGTTTCTTTTTGTATGTTATCACAATTTTGCTTACATATTACTAAAGTATCACTTTTAAATGTGTTTAAAAATCTGATTTCCCTTTTTAGGATAATTTGTTAATGTAGTCAGATTTACTATTATAAGACTATACTTTCTCCCTTAACTGATGTACACTAGAATCAATATTGAATGTAGACATGACAAACCTTTTTATCCAACTCTAACAGGATGAGATATTTACTGGGGAATACTATATGAAGATCCTGTCCTAACTGAACATCATAACTAAGGCTAAGATTGTCACAGATTCTGTGACCTCCAGAGACATCCATGACCTTTTCCGTCACAGCCCGTGGCAGTGGGGCCGGAGCTGTCAGCCAGCAGGGGAAACTCTCAGCCACTGGGGGTGGAGGCCCCTGCAGCTCTCAACCGCCCCCACGGCAGGGCTCAGGCTCTCATTTTCCTGCCCTCTCAGGCTTCAGTCAGACCCCCTCTTCCTTTCCCCCCCACCCCATTATTTTTAGTAAAAGTCAAACAGGTCATGGGCTTCCATTAATTTTTGTTTATCGCCTGCAACCTGTCCGTGACTTTTACTAAAAATAACTATGACAAAATCTTAACCTTAGTCATAACTAGTTTTCTTGGCGCAGTTTTACCTTGTTCAGAAGCTGTTCAGTTCTCCACACCAGAAGTGCAGTTTCTTATCTCGAAACAAAGCTAGAGGTGTAAGTCATTTTTTAAAAGACTGTATGAATTTTCTTTAAATTGGGTTTAGCACAACCTTTGTTATAAAACAATGTATAATGTAGAATGTTGACTGAAGGAAGTAAAAATGGGGCATGAGCTTTCCTCAATATATGTTCATTTAGAAGTAGAAAACATTTCACTTGCACATATTCTTTGCTCTGTTATGATTAATTGATAGGGGAAGTATCCTGATACAATATCAGTTAGTTAGATCTCTTCATTAATTGGTAGCATTTTAGAGCTGAAACCACTTTATTGAAAGCAAGTTCTGTTATAAGCAGAAGTCTATGGTTTATGTTTACTCTCTGCATAAAGGTGTGCGGCAGTGCATATAGCACTTCCAGTTCATAATAAATGACTTGTAATAAGACTAAAAGTATTTAGTCTTGTTTTTCCTGAATTCTGTGGGAAGGAATTTTGGGGTGAGAAATATTCTCTGACCAGGGCTTTCTATTTGGGGGAAAAGCCTCCTTCCCTGATTAAAAGTTAGTAAAATCTATCCAATTGATGTATGTGGTATGAGTGTACATAAAAGATTTTTCAGTAATAGACCACTTTCCTAATGTACGTGCCATTGAACTAGAGCTACACTTCTGGACTGGTATAGAAAACACCCCTGGCCAGTGAGTTCTCTTAAGGATGCTCACTTGGAATTGAGTTATTGGAAATTATGAAACTGTTTTATCCCCATGAGGAATATCCCAATAGTTATCCTTAAAATACCGATAATAAAGGTACCTTCTGTTAAACATATTCTAAATACTTTGAAACTTTTCCATTATTTAACAAGATAGTAAGCTGAAAGTAGCAAAAGACCTTCACAATATGTGTTCATGAAGTACATTGTAGAAAGAATATTAGTCCCTCTACCCTCTGGGCCAAAGAAGCATTTTCTACCATTAAAGGATCAGGGAACCCATTAAATGGTCTGCATATGTGCCAAAAGTGAGAGAAATCTTGAAATGGTATCTGCTTGTTTTTAATATGCTCTTGAGCTACTAAAGGTGTGAAGTAGGCTTCATTAGTTTAGTTTTTTTCTTTCCACACGTTCTCTAAAGGTGATCACAATTGGAATTCTGTTGTGGTTCTGCAACAGACTTCCTGTGTAGTATTCAGAGAGTCCCTAAATCCCTAGATACAGTTCTTTTCTGTCTTCCAAGGGTATTGTAAGGATAAATCTATACATACACGGGAGGTTTCAAATGCTACTGAGATAGGGACCATACGAGTATCTACAGTCAGACTCTAGTTTGTCTCCCAAGCTGCCCCTCAAAACTTAGGCAACAATTCTGACCTGAATGAGCATTCCGATATTGACATTTGAAAGAGTTCACCAAATGTATATTTGCTTAGGTGTGCTCACTTCCAGTACTGTCACAATAAGTGTCTTCTTAACTAGAGCAGACTTTTGTCTAAGATAGTTATGAACATAAGCATTCCTATTTTCTAGTGGTTCATTCCTCATACATTTTAAAGTATTCAAAGGTACCTCTATCTAATTTTAGAGCTGATGACTTATCAAGTGATCTTAGTCTCCAAGGAATTCCAGTTCAGTCTCTTCATGGCAACAGAGAACAGTGTGATCGAGAACAAGCTTTGGATGACTTTAAGAAAGGCAAGTATTGCCCTTGAATGCTATTCTGTTGAGCCTGGCAGTTTCAGAATATACTGTATAAAACTTAATATCCACACCAGTAGCATAATGGTTTTTGTAACACGGAGCAGTTAAAAGTAAAATAACTTCAATGTTAAATGTGTGGGAGTAAGACTCCCAATATTTTTAATTGTATTAATGTACCAAATACTAGTGCTAGAAAAACATGGTACGAAGAGGAGATAAGTTGTTGCTTTATCCATTGAAAATTGAAATGGCCATGAGTGAAAATGAGATGACAGTTTAAAGTACTGCTGACTTCTCTTATTTTGGAATTTACAAACAAACAAACAGTATTTTGTTAAAATGAAGGATATCTGAGTATGACATGTTTGTTGGGTGGTGGTTTTCGTGTAGTAAACCCCACCTGGTCCATGATTGTGTCCTGCTAAGGAGAATGGCATTAAGATGAAGGCTAGTCCAGTCATTGGGATGTTGACTTGAGACTTGGAAGATCTGGGTTCAATTTGCTGATCAACTAGATTTCTTGTGTGATGGGCAAGTCTTTCTGTGCCTCAGCTCCCCATCTGTAAAATGTTGGTAGTAATAGGAATTACTTTCATCACTTGGTGCTGCGAGGCTAAAAAGGTTGGATTGTGTGGTGCTCCGATACTAGGATAATGGAGGCCATATAAGCATGGAAGGTGGATAGATTGTGTATTGTACATTAGCAAGATAAAAGACCAATGTATATTTTCCATACATGCTTATTGCAGGAAGAGTGAGAATACTGATAGCTACAGATTTAGCATCCCGTGGGCTTGATGTACAGGATATTACTCATGTTTTCAATTTTGATTTCCCTCGGAACATTGAAGAGTACGTTCATAGAGTAGGTCGTACTGGACGAGCAGGGTAAGTGTTTTTTCTACATATAAACTAAATTCTCTCATCATTTTAAAAATGACAGTAAAGCTTGCTACTGAGGATTACTCACATTTTTATTTAATGTACATTTTTAATATATGGTTTCTAAGTTGTTAGAGCAACAGATAATATAAATCTTACTGCTGATGCAATGTGAGATCAACAGTAAATGATGCTTCCAGAATATGATGTGTATACCAAGATACATTTCAAATATTAATGTTCCATTTCTGGCATTGTGTGTTTTGAAATCAGTTAGCAAAAGGCACATCAGAGTTCTGGTGTGAGGTTGGTAATTACTTGGGTTATAAACAAAAAATGAAAATGGGTTTAAACCTGAGTAGAGTCATATTTTTGAAGATGTTCTAGATTAATATTTCCTTATCTTAAATCTATTCTACATTATAACTACTGTATAAAATTCTCAGTCAGCTCCCTAGGAATTCCATCAACAAGCACACTTTGAATGTCAAGAGTTTCACCTTACTACAGTCATACAGCTTGTTGGCTTCAAAGAAAGGTTTGAATGCCAGATTAACTCCAGAAATTTAACAAAAGAAATAAGATGATGAAAAAACATACTTTCTATATAGCCTTCTGTCAGCATTTGGTGATATATGGTATTTGTGATATAAAGACTGCAGCTAGTTTCTGATTTCTTCTTAGCCTTGAGCCATAAAAAGTGTGCCAATAATGCCTATAAAACAAGTGCCATTTAAAACTCTGTATGCAGGAAGTGATTAAGTTCATAGGGAAACTCTCTCTCCATTAAAGATATAATTATGATTTTGAAGTATGTTTAAAATTAAGATGTCAATTGTTCTTACTGCAAATGATACTCCTTAGGGATTTTTGCGCATCTGCGGACGTGCAGCAGTCCTCTGTCTTGCTAAAAAAAACATTTTGCCTAAGAAGTGCAGCAGTTCTGCTTTTTCCCACCTGAGGCCGCTGTGGCGCCAGAACAGACTGCTGCATTCATGCTGGCTCTTCTAGTGCCACAGCAGCCTCTGGTGGGCAAAAGGCAGAACTGCAGCACTTCTTAGGCAAAATGTATTTTATGCAGGAAAATACAAAATTCCATGCCCAGTGCTGCAGAATTCCCCCAGGAGTAGAAGTTCATCTCAGCACCCTGCCTGTGGAGCCAGGTTAGGACAGAGTGGGGCACACAGAGCTGCTGGGGGATCACAATTTGAGGTTGAGAATGGCTAGTGGGAGGGCACAGACTGGAGCATGGGCTCAGGAGCTAGTGGGGTGACAGTGTTGAGCCTGGGGACGGGGAAGTGGGGCTGCAGAGACCCATGGGGATAAGGGGTGCGGGGACAGGGGCAGATGTGCCTGACCGAATAGGAGAGGCTTGTGGTCAGCCAGGATCTGCATGGGGTAGGCTTCCTAACAATCCCACACACACCCCAAAGAAAAACCTCCCACCCACACCTAACACCCTCCAAGTTCACTCCTAGGCCCCTCCCCTCTCCCTCAGCTCCTCTGTTATTTCTGACTCCCCCAAACCTTTGCACTGCTTTTGACAGGTGCAGGAAATACAGTTCTGTATTGTAATTTAAATGAATTATACAGAGTTCTGTATTAATACGCCTAACAAGGCATCTATTTGTCAAAAAAACATTACCAGAATCTTTTTTTTTTTTTGCTCTGTATTGTTAGACATACTTGCTGACAGATATTTTGAAATAAATTACCAAGACAATTGAAACAGGCATGATTATATTGTGTTTATTTTGACAAAATGTGCAGAATTTTGCAGAATTTTTAATTTTTTTGGTGTGGAATTCCCCCAGAAGTCAAATGAAAGATCACAGAGTAAGTATTTGTCCCCATAGTAAACTGGGAGATGGAATTTGAAAACATACTTGGTATTTCTGAACTTCTTGCAGGTAGTTGTAGCCATTTTGCTCCAGTTTCATGACTGTCACTGGCAGTACAGTGGGGCTCTAAACCTGTTCCCATTCTACCTTAATCAAATAATAATGGCGGAAGAGAATATTATAACTTTACATTTATATAGTATTATTCATCCCAAAAGAAATCATAAGCATTATGGGGTGGTGACCCTCATTATGGCAGTTATCCCATTTTCCCTACATGACCTCGTTTTCACATGTATTGCTTCCCCAGACAACATGGAGGATGCCATTTAAAAACTGCATCCTCTGTGCAGTGTGACCTCATGCACACGTGCAAGATCACATCACATAGAGGAGGTCACACTATGGAGGATGCCATTTTGCGGAGCTAAAAACATCCTCTATGTGGCGTGACCTTGCATGTGTGGTGTCATGCTGTGCGGTGGGCACCATTTTGCAAAACGGCAACCTCTGCATACTTGGGATTACCACAACCCCATCTGCTGATGGAGTTACTCCATTTGGGGTTGTGATCCAGTTTGGGAACTTCTGATTTAACAAAAAGGAACAGCCGTTGCTAATGAAGATGCTTTACTGAGGCAACATAAGACAGGTGCGGTTTGCCTAAGAAGGCTGTACTGAGCCTCTAATGGGTTGGAGCTTTGTTGATAGGCGTTTTCCTAATGCTTCTATATTAGTATGTTTCTTGGATTTTATTCTAGGGAGTTCATTTTAATGCATTGTACAGATTTGTTCTTACAGATATGGAATATATATTTATTTTAGATCTCTTTATATATGGAAATTGCACTGCTTTTAAGCTATTGATGTATATGGTTACAATATTTCAATGTCAGAAAAAACACTTTACTATGTAAACTTCATCCTTTTTAAAGTAGTATTAAGCAGAATGAGAACTGGCTGTAAAGACTTTCTTATTGATTTTCATACTTCAAATTTCATAAATGACATTCTCCAGCAATAAGAGGAAGTAAAGAAATTTGAAAGTGGTCAACGTGTCTTGCAGCACGGTCCAGTGGATGAGACATGGACTAGAAATCATAGGACCAGATTTCTGATTTCAGTTCTGACATTCAGTTGCTCTTTAATGTAGGGCAAGTCACTTAACCTTTGTGCCTCCATTTTCACATTTGTAAAATGGTGATGATCTACCTGGTTAATTAGTGCTGTAAGATCTACAGATGAAACACATAAGTGGTTAGTAGTAAGAGTGTTTAGGGAACATTTAATGCAGCACTACTGTTGTAACCCGTAAAGGTATGGTCTTTTTGCAAATTGTTTATGGACAGAACATAAGAATGTAAAATGTCTGTTAACTCATTTGTGCCTAATGTGGATGAGACTTAGGAGTGAGCTCTTTTAAATGTGTATATATGTTTCTGCTCTGTACAGCTGAATCTGAAGAGGTTTAAAAGTCTAGAAGCAGGACAGAGGATTCAGCAGCAGATTGCCAAAACTGATTGCATAGCTGCCGACTTTTTTTTTTTTTAAATGTACCAATTCATTGCTGTTGCTGCAGAGGAGTAACTATGAAGCTAGAAAACATTTTCTAGGATCTACAGGTGAAGCAGAGAGAAGTCCAGTCTCTTCCTAGCCCAGGCAGTATGACAGTAATTGTCTGCTATGGAATTTTTGTGCACAAAAATTCCATTCTGTGAGGAAAAACCATACAGGAGACATAGACAATGGGCCAAATTCTGAAAACCAGTGACCAGCAGCACGAGAAGACACCAATCACTGGTAGTGCCTTGGAGCTATTGTAAATTGCTCAGAGAAATTGTCTGCTCTCTTCTTTGGCTTTAGGCCAGTAGAGAGGGTACTTCATCAAGTAATAGCGCTGACAGGAGCAGGACAGAGGCCAGGTTGTAGTACCCCTGTTTATGGGTTTATTACCATGTTTCACCCCTAGGATTGTCACTAAACACTTCATTTTCCCCAATAGATTAATCCTGCTTCTGACTGGAATAATTCGTTGGGAGAAGGGAAGAGATCATTTCAGGCTACACAGAATATGAACATGCAGGCTGCTCTTGCAATGTGTGCATTCACCCAACCACTTGTGGGTCCATTTTGTGCTTTTCTGAGTTTGGCTTAATGTGCTCAATGTTTAGTTTTCTAGAAGACTTCAGATTAGTGTTTGTTAGTGTTGTACTAAATGTTAACCTTTTTCAAAGTGGTCCATTATAGGTATAGACATACCATATTCAGAAATGAATTGTTAAATGAGTTTTCTATGCGAATGAATGAAGTACCAGGCCTAAAGATGTTAATGGGGCAGAAATAAATCAGTTTACATAGTAAAAGCAACACCATTGAGGAGTCTAGCCTTTTCCACCAGTTCTGTTAATAAAAACTTAATTTACAAATTGCAAAGTTATTTCTGAAATCTCAATACTTTGCGCTTCTGACTTTCTCCTCTCCTTGAACAAGGTTAGCTTCTTATGCCTTTATTCTAGTTAGCTGAAGTTCTGCACTCTGTTTCTAAACAGACATCTAGTCTCCTTCAAAATGGATTGGCATCAGTATTTTTTTTTTTTTTTTTGGCTTGGCTTGGCTTTGCTGTAGGAACAGGTGTATCCTCTGAAGTTAATTCTGTTACTGTTTCAAGCATATACTGGTAGGAAGTGTCCAACAATGTAGTTTTCTCTTCTCTTGAAGAGTAAGAATATATTTTTTTTCTTAGACGCACAGGGGAGGCTGTAACGCTTGTCACTAGGAATGACTGGAGGATTGCATCTGAGCTGATCAGCATTCTTGAAAGAGCAAATCAAGTAAGAATATTTACCTTAGCAGGGCAATGTGTACATAGCTCTCAATTGTTTAAATATGACTAGATCCCATTTGAAATGGTATTTTAGTATAGGGGAGAAGCTTACTGAGAAGCCCGTTCTTAACCGTACCGTTTGTAGTTTCACTGGGAAAATTGGGAGCTTGGGCCCTCCAGCCTTCAAAAAAAAAAAAAAATCTGAGATTGGACATTCTGGCAATGGTATTTTACCTCAGTTGTAAAAAGAGAAGCCAAAAGACAGAGGCTGTTGCTATTCAGTATGGCAGAGTCTGCCTAACTTCAATTAAGCCCTTCAGCTGAGCAGTGAAAAAGGACTATACAAGGGAGTGGACTGGGTTTTCCGAAAAGGATTTGTTACATGATTGTCCATAGGTAATCCACTCTTGGTATGCGTGTGCCCTGTCTTTTGGCCAGCAGCATCCACTAGGGCCGTGCATACCTGAGTGTCCTTCTGTTTAGTTCACAGGCTTAAAGGGTGGAGCGGGCTCAGCTGTCCCTAATTTCCTTCTTATTACTTGTGGCTCTGAGATGAAACCTTGGCAGTGTCCAGGCCTCAATGCACTTGTGTAAACTGTTTTCCTTGTAGGTACTTGTAAATATGTGTGCAAGGATTAGGATTATGGTGAGGAATATTAGGTATAATTATTTTTCTTCTTCAAGGGAAAATATTTTTTCCCTTGATACAGGGAATTATAACTGAACTAAGTCTCCTGACTTTAAAACCTGCCCCTCCTCTCCCATGCTGCTTAATGATGGCCACACAAGATGTTTATTTTGTCTCAGAGAAAGGACAAACTACGTTTTTTTCCATCTGTAGTCCTTTTCAAAAAAGGACCAGAAGTTGAGAGAGGCTCACCTCAAACTTCCTTTTAGACTGCTCTGTAGCTTGCCGTAGATCTGTGCAAGCAAAGAAACTTCCCTGTCCCCCCCCCACCCCCAAAAAGCTCACCCTAGGTCCAGAAGTGCTCTAGTAAAGCTTTAGATCAGCAGCTAATTCCTGAGCCCCATCCTCCAAGAGAATCCTGGCTGTGGACTCTGGTAGGACTGTTTAGATCCCCAAGTAAACTTTGGATGGGGTAGAAAAGATCATCACTTCTCTGAGAAGCATAAAGGTAGATCACCTGCTGCAGACCTGAGTAAAGTGGTTGAAATTGCCTTACTACTCCCTGTCTAAGGGGGCTTCATTGCCTGGATCAGGTACTACTGGACCCCCAAGGGAGCAATACTGGACCCTTTGCACCATCTTTGGGTGGTACAGAGAGTGCAGTACTGATGATTCATCAGCAGAGTACACTGTGATGCTATACCTTGAGAAGTGGAGAAGAGGGTTAATATTTTTTTGAACTGAGATCATTTGCACTAGTGGGAGACCACCAAGTATCAGCTGAACCAGAGTCACTGTTGCTGTCCTTGGTCCTGCATGTCTCTTCTACAATGCCAGCTACTACTGCTGCTGTGGTTCTGAGTACCTCTTCAACACAGGTTGAGCCACATTTGGGGGTGGATTCTAAGATACCCAAACAAGGTGTAACCCCTCTTTTGGATGAGGAGTGCTTCGTCTCTTTATTCTTTATTTTGATTTGAATCAGATAATCTCCTGATTATTCCCTAAAGTCATATTCATATGACCCTTAAGACTCAGTTTTGAGAGCCTCTGTCAAGATCTAGGGGTTACAGAGATAGGCAGTCTTTTTTTGGTGACATCCACCTTGGCTCTGGGCCTTTTCCCCTCTAACAGACTGCTGGTCCTACTGGAATGCCGGGTTCACAACAATTGGGACAACCTGCATCTGCACCCGCTCAGAATTAGGACCATTTCTCCTGTATCTTCTTAAGGTATTGTTTCTCAAACTGCACTGCAACACACTGAGCACCTATCAGAGATATCAAAAGAAAAGCATCCTTCCATGGGCGCTCAGTCAGTCTGTGGCTGCTGCTTCTTCATCACCAGGTGAGGCAATGGTTCCTTCAGCTCCCTCTCAACCAATTATAAAAGTTTCAGGACTTGGTCCACCATATAGAAAATTGGATAGAAACTCCTGTGGAGTGGTACTGGAGAGCTCCTGCAAGCTCTTGCATAATCCCTGGCGACTGTGCATGGAGTATATCTATCAATGAAGCCTTGTTGGAACTGGCAAGGACATCTGGAACACTCAAACATCAGTTGCACTGACATCTAAGAAGGCAGATAAACTGTATTAGATACTCTCAGAGGGAGGATGGTACCCATAATATCTTGTGTACCAGATTCACTTTCTTGAGAGAAATAGAAAGTCCTGGTGGCCAATGAGAGAAATAGAAAGTAGCAACCAAAAATTACACCAAAAGGCAGGAGGCCAAAGTGTCTGTAATTACTGATCAATTAGCCTGCAATTAAAAATTGCCATTACCCTTTGTTAGTAAGATACAATTACTTGAACTGGTGCAGGGTCTTAGACTTTGCTAATAACGGTCTTCAGGAGAACAAGAAAAAGTGCAAGTCAAAAAATTTCTGAGGGGCAGTTGGTAGCCCTAACATCTTTCCAGGCCACTTTAGATGCCTCCAGTACAATGGCTAGATACATAGCAATTTCTGTCACCATAAGGATAGCATCCTAGTTATAGTCTTTGACATTGCATGGTTGAGAGGTGCAGACAGCAATTGAAGATCTCCCTTTCAAAGACTCTGCACTCTTCATCACAAAGGCAGCTGGTGCTCTGCACTTTAGAATCCCAGCCCAGGCTCCAATTGCTAGGCATATACACGCCAGCTGCTAGAGGAAACAGGGAAGACTGCAATCTTATACCACACAAAGATCATGGCCAAGCTTCTTTTTCAGGCAAAAATGCTTGGAATCTTGGAAGAAGAGACATCTTCCAGAAAAGGAGACCTTCAGCTTATACATACCCTGAACCTGATCTTTGTCCTGGATATAAAGAACATTACAGTTCAGCCACAATCTTGGACAGAGCATCACCTGATTAAGGGCATGGTCCGAGACTTTCCAGCATCCAGGCAATAAGAAAGACAAATGATCCTGATTCAACCATAAAGACTTGTGGACTCCAAATTCTAAAGCAGTTGTCCCCAAACTTTTCATGGTTATGGCTCCCCCTTACTCCTATCCACACCCTTCTCAGGGGTCGGGAGCAGGACCACAGCACACAAGGGAGGGGTGCCGTCAGGCGTAAGGGGGCCAAGGCTGAGGCTGCAGCTGGGGTGGGTCTGGGACTGAGAACTGAGCCGTGACTAGGGCGGGGCAGGACCGGGGCCAAGAATGGACCTGCAGCTGGGGGACGGAAACGGGCCAGGGCTGTGGTCGGGGGGGGGGGAGCAAGGCTGGTGCTGGGAGTGGAGCCGGGATCACAGCTGGGGCTGGAGCAGAGTTGGGGGTGTAGAACCGGGCTGGTTGGTGCACTCACCCCGCCCCTCATGGGAGCTGGCCTGGGCCCCTCCATGGCCCCCTGAACATTCCTTCCTTCCCCCCTGGGGGGCACACCCTGCATTTTGGGGACCTATGTTATAAAGCTTGGTGAGGGGCAACAGTACCCCGCTCACAGGAAGAGGAACTGAGGATTTGATGAATCATTACTAAGGCTAAAATTTAGTCACCGCAGTCACGGATTCTGTGACTTTACTGGACCTCTGTGACTTCTTCGGCATCAATTGTCAGGGGCTGAAGCTGGAGCTGGAGGCGGGACTGTGCCTCTGCACTGCAACTGGGGCTGGAACCAGGACCGTGCAGCTCCTGCCCTGTGGCTTGCGGCGGGGGCTATGGCCGGGGCGGCGGCTGCGGCCATGCGCCTGTGCCCCACGGCTTGCAGCCAGCTTGAGCTGGGGGGCGCTGTGTCCCCGCTGGGGCTGTGCTCCCCACCATGCCAGGGGGCTCTGCCTGTCAGTCCCCCCCACCCCATGGGACTACAGCTATCATTCCTTCCCCCTACCTAGCCCTGCCCTCCCCCGCCCCCCATTTATTTTTAGTAAAGTCATAGACAGGCCACAGGCTTCCATAAATTTTTTTTCTTTATTGCCCGTGACCTAACAAATTCTTAAAGGTTATGTTTAGGCTATAGTACAGGCCAAAAAACCTTCATATCAGCCTCCATTGAGACTGCCAAACCCTACCGAGCAACAATTGCTGCAAAGAATGATAATCTGAATTTCCAGAAAAGATCTCTCACATTTAGGAAGCCATCTCAAACCGCATGGATCCACTCTGCCTGCACCCACCAACGAACATTCCCAGCTACATTCCCAGAGTTCATTACACTCACTCTTCAAGAAGTTCTAGGTACCCTAGAGAAGTCCCAGCTCAAGATTTGTGAATCCCAACCCCCTACTCTTGAGAAAGAGTCATAAAACCTGGTGCCACTCTTGTCTAAAAGTGCTGACACCTCATCAGAGATACTCTTCTCTCAAACACTCAATCAGACCAACATTGAAGAAACCCACCCTGGATACTTCAGTCCTTGCCAACTATTGCCAAGTGTCAAACCTCCCATTCATGAGCAAGCTCATAGAGAAGCTGGCAAAAGGCCAACTACAAGCTCATTTAACTGAAGCTAACATTCTAGACATATCTGTGTGGATTAAAGCTGGGACATGAAACTCAAACTTATTGGCACTAATGGATGATCTGCTGTTAGTGGACAAACATGCATTCTCATCCTGGACCTCTCTACAGCATTTGACACTGTTGATCATGAGATACTGCTGTCTCACCTGAGAATTGTGGCAGGAGTCCAGGATAATGCACTAAAATTGTTGGAGTCCTTCCTGGAGGGACACACCCAAAAAGAAGTGATGCTTCTCCACCACTAAACCCCTCACTTACAGGGTTCCACAAGAATCAATTCTCTCTGCTGTCGTTTTCATTACATTTTTCTACTAGGTGAACTAGTCTGACATCAACTTAAGTGCCAGCAATATGCAGATGAAACACTGCTCTACTTATCCTTCACAACATGAACATACCACTACAACCAAGATGGCTCAGTGCTTGG